TTTAAAACCCAATGGGATAATTTTAGAGAACATCATCCATGAAGAGCATACACCAAAGCTTTTTTTTCTTAACAACTGCATTGCATTATTGCAGGTAAAGGAAAATGTATTTCTAGGATTTTCTCCTTTTTTAAGGATTATATGAACATATATAATGCTTGAATGCTACATCAAGACACCATTTAGCTTCTAAGAAATAGTTCAGTTAAATGGGACAGACAAGTGAGGGGGAGGAAGACCATTCTGAAATCCTCACTAGTGAAATCACACAAGCAATATTTCATTATAATTCATGATTACTTTTCATTTTCCAGAAGTTATTGCAGTTGATTTGCTAACCAAGAGAAGATCAATAAAATAAAACTGTCTGTGACAAAATACTACAGTTTAATGATGAGGAAATGTGATATTTCTATTTCCCTTAAGAAAAGCTTCTGAAGCATCCCAAATAAAAAGGGCCTACTGTATATTATTTTGACAGTTTAGAAAGATCCAAATACTTTGATCCTTCATAAACGAAATGAAATTTGAAAGTAGAGAATTTATTCTTACAAGCAATATGCCTCATCCTTCCTTCATGGACCTTAGAACCCTGATCTTTTCTAATGGTATTTTAGATTTTATACTGGTCAGATGGAAAATTCCAAAAAGGACATCCACAGTACAGGTATAGCCCAGGTATTTATGGCTTTTATGATGTTTTCTCCACTCAGTTTGGACTTTAATATCTTGCGAATTCATCGAATGTACTTGGCTGAGATTAATTCCTTGACTTTATTATGCATTAGGTCAGAGGCCTCTAAAATCCCCAAATACTTGTAGCCTTCTTCTGGTTTTACTGCCTTTATCATTTCTTCATTGACAAGTTCTAGACCATCATCTTCTGTGATCTTGCCTGCTTTGGTTGCCATTGTTGCACATTTGTCAATTCCAAACTATATACCAATATCTTGGCTAAATTCTTTTGTGCTTTCAATTAATAAATTCAGTTCAGCTTTTGTTTTACCAAACAGCTTCAAATCACCAAGTGCGAAATTTTCACTCCTTTCTTTTCAAGTTCGTATCCATAGTTCATATTCTTCAAAATGATTGTCAGTGG